GGGTCTCCTTGGGGGTCATGTGGGGTTTTCAAGGTGGGTTAAGGGGGGACAGTGCTGCTTGGGCGCAGGACACGCGTGTGCACGCACACACACACGTGTGCCGCAGCAGGTCCTGGGCACCTGGGTCCCTCGTTTGAGTCCTCTCCTATGACCCCATGGCCAACCCCTACCCCGTGCCTCAGTTTCCCCCTCACTCTCCAGGGACCACCCGAAGCCGATGTCCTGGCACTGACTTTATTGTGGCTACGGGGCTGGTCTGCTGGGCCAGTGGGGCCAGGCCAGGAGCCATCCCGGCTGATGCCCACCTGGGCCAGGATCTGTCCAGGCTGGTAGCCTTCAAGGCCGGGGTCCTTCCGGGCCAGTGTCCATCAGGGTTGGCATCCGTCAGACCGGCGTCCACCTGGACCGCGGTCCATCTGTGCTGGCATCCGTTGGGCTGGCGTCCACCTGGACCAGGGCCGATCCGTGACGGCATCCGTTGGCTCAGGGTCTGTCTGGACCAGGGTCCACCTGGGCTGGCACCCATCCGACCAGGATCCATCTCAACCAGGGTCCACCCAGGCCGGTGTCCATCAGACTGACGTCCATCCGGACCAGGGTCCATCCAGGCTGGCATCCATTGGGCCACCACCTGTTGGACCAGGGTCCATCCAGACCATCACCCGTTGGGCCAGCATCCATCTAGACCATGAACCAACCTTGCCGGCACCCATCCAGACCGGGACCCACGGAGCCGATCCTCACTGCAGAGGAGGGAAGAAACCACGGTCAGTCCCAACATCACCTCCCACATCCACCCCCACCAAACCCCCGTCCTCCTGGCCGTGCCAGACCAGACCAGACACCCCGACCGGGCACCTCCCAACCCCTGGAGATGCCACAGAGCTTGGTGCTCACCTCGAAGCCGTGCCAGGTCTCAATCTCATGGAAGAGGGAGTTGCCGGGGCAGTCGGTGTGACCCATCTGGCGGTGGCCACGTAGGGTGTAGTTGCGGTGAAGCCGGCCGGTCCGCACGGCGCAGGGCAGGAGCCTGTCCCGCACCAGGGCGATGGCATCGGGGTCCGGCAAGGTGGCCGAGAAGTCTCCAACGTAGCTCACGCCGTAGCCTTTGCTGTTGTAGCCTTTGGTGTGGGCACCAACCCAGTGCCAGCCTCGGCCTTGGTACAGGTACCCATCCGACCCCACCACGAAGCTGCAAGCACCCGTGGGTCAACCCGAGCTGCCCGGAGATGGGTGACGGGGACTGCGGGGGGGTGACGGTGACAGAGTCTCACCTGTAGCCGATGTCATCCCAACCGCGGGTGTCCTGGTGAAAGCGTTGCATGGCGCGCATGTCCCGGGCGCAGGCGGTGAAGGTGCGGCACGGGGCGCTGGGTATGAAGGTGTGGTGGACGTAGACAGAGCCCAAGGGGAGGGTCAACGGTTTGGGGGTGCCCCGGTAGGGACGGGCACCCCACATGCACCGGGGCACGATGGCCGGGCACTCTGCGAGGGAAGGCAGGCGGTGGAAGAAGGGGACTTGCCTGGTCCCACGGGCAGGTGGGGACGTGGCAGCGTCCCCCTGGGGTCTTGGGGACACGGAGCATCTGCCCAGCTGAGGAACCCCTTGGCCTGGGACATGGTAGTGTCCTCCTGGGGTCCCCTCATCTAGGGGACGTGGAGCATCTGCTCAGGGTGTCCCTTGGCTGGGGACATGGCTGTGTCCAGCGTCGGGCGGACACACCGGTGTCCATCCAGAGGACATGGTGGTGGCCATCCAGGGGACACATCGGTGTCCATCCAGGGGACGAAGCAGTGTCCAGGGACCCATTATCCAGGGGACATGGTGGTGTCCATCCAGGGACCACCATCTGGGGACACACCAGTGTCCATCCAGGGGACACAGTGGTGTCCATCCAGGAGACACACCGATGTCCAGCCAGGAGACCTGTGGGTATCCATCCGGGGGACATGGTGGTGTCCGTCATGGGGACACACCGATGTCCATCCAGGGGACACACTGGTGTCCATCCAAGGGACCTGTGGGTGTCCATCATGGGGACACATCAATGTCCATCCAGGGGACACGGTGGTGTCCATCAAGGGACCACCCCCTGGGGACACAGTGGTGTCCATCCAGGGGACCTGTGGGTGTCCATCTACGGGACATGGTGGTGTCCGTCATGGGGACACACCGATGTCCATCCAGGGGACACACTGGTGTCCATCCAAGGGACCTGTGGGTGTCCATCATGGGGACACATCAATGTCCATCCAGGGGACACGGTGGTGTCCATCAAGGGACCACCCCCTGGGGACACAGTGCCAGCCCCACCCAGGGGACCCGGGTGTCCATCCAGGGGACATGGTGGTGTCTGACCATGCCAGGCCGCATGTCACCAGTCAGCTCTCAGAGTGCCACCAACACTGGGGTGACACTGGGGACCCCCAGCCCCACCCAGGGTGCAGCTCTCCACCCATCCTCCCACCCAGGTTTTTTTTTTGGGGGGGGGGCAGATGTGATATCGCGACTCGGTGCCACCTCCCTACCCACGTAGACCTCCGTGAAGTCCTGCGCCGCTTGACGAGCGATGGCCACCACCTCCTCCGGCCCCACGTCCTCCAAGAGCTCCTGGGTGGGTGGCAGCACCCGCAGCACCCTCAGCATCGCCGCCACCTCCTCCTCCAGCTTCCCCGGCCCCGTCAGCACCCCGAAATCTCGTCGCCGGTAACTGCTGGGTGGTCGCTCCTTCTCCGTGCCGTTGCCCGTCCCGTAGTAGCCCCGGAGAAGGTCGGCGAGCGGAACGGGTGCTTGGGCCAGGTGGGCACCCAACAGCACCCCATCCATCGCCCCGTTGGCAACGGCATCAGGGATGGGCGAGGGGGGTCCCAGCAGGGTGTAGTTTTGGGGGTCATCCACGTCATCCCAACAGCCGTCAGGTCCGAGTGTGGTTCGGTTGCCATCACCGTCACGAGCCAAGAGGAAGGATGTCCCCAAAACCTCGGTGATGGTGACGGCGTAGAGCGCGTCGATGGGTGGCTCGACGGTGGGGAAGGGCCACCCCGCCGCCCGCTTGAGGCCAACCTCGATGCCGGCGAGGAGGGGGCCAAGGGCAATGGCGGAGCCGTCGGGTGCCAGCACCACGCCGCGCTCGGGTGCCGTGGCGTCCTGGTGGAGGAGTTGGGTGAAGAGCAGCCACTGCTCACGGCTGAGCGTTCGTGGGGCTGGTGGGACATCGGGTGGCTCTCCCAGCACCGCGCGGCACCCCGGGGTGCTGCAGCCACCCAGCGCCCGCGCCAGCTCCGGCACAGTGCCGGTGAAGTCGTGGTCAGTCGATTCAAGGGCTTCCACGATCTGAACGACCGAGTCCATGTGGCGCGGTGGGAGACCTGGGGAGGGGACGGAGACGTGGGAGGGGACCGAGGGGCACCCGTGGGGTCGGAGGTGCCCGTGGGTGCAGGGATGGCGAGAGTCTCCCCAGGGTGGGTGAGTGTGCACCCAAAACAGGGTGACTGCACCAAAGCGAGGGGAAAGGCACCCAAAACAGGGCGAAGGCACCCAAAACAGGATGAAAGCACCCAAAACAGGGAGAATGCACCCAAAACAGGATGAAAGCACCCAAAACAGGGAGAATGCACCCAAAACAGGATGAAAGCACCCATAGCAGAGCAAATGCACCCAGAAAAGGGCAAATGCACCCCAAACCAGAGCAAATGCACCCAAAACAGGGTGAAAGCACCTAAAACTGGGTGAATGCACCCAGAGCAACATGAAAGGACCCAGAGGAGGGCGCAAGCACCCAGGAAAAGGGTGAATGCACCCAAACCAGGGCGAATGCACCCAAAACAGGGTGAATGCACCCCAGGCAAGGGGAAAGCACCCAAACCAGGGCGAATGCACCCAGAAAAGGACGGCTGCACCCAAAACAGGATGAAAGCACCCACTGCACAGCAAATGCACCCAGAGCAGGGTGACCGCACCCAGAAAAGGGCAAACGCACCCAAAACCAGAGCAAATGCACCCAAAACAGAGTGAAAGCACCCATAGCGCTGCAAATGCACCCAGAGGAGGGCGCAAGCACCCAGGAAAAGGGTAAATGCACCTAAAACTGGGTGAAAGCACCCAAACCAGGGTGAAAGCACCCAAACCAGGGCGAATGCACCCAGAAAAGGACGGCTGCACCCAAAACAGGATGAAAGCACCCATAGCAGAGCAAATGCACCCAGAAAAGGGCAAATGCACCCCAAACCAGAGCAAATGCACCCAAAACAGGGTGAAAGCACCTAAAACTGGGTGAATGCACCCAGAGCAACATGAAAGGACCCAGAGGAGGGCGCAAGCACCCAGGAAAAGGGTGAATGCACCCAAACCAGGGCGAATGCACCCAAAACAGGGTGAATGCACCCCAGGCAAGGGGAAAGCACCCAAACCAGGGCGAATGCACCCAGAAAAGGACGGCTGCACCCAAAACAGGATGAAAGCACCCACTGCACAGCAAATGCACCCAGAGCAGGGTGACCGCACCCAGAAAAGGGCAAACGCACCCAAAACCAGAGCAAATGCACCCAAAACAGAGTGAAAGCACCCATAGCGCTGCAAATGCACCCAGAGGAGGGCGCAAGCACCCAGGAAAAGGGTAAATGCACCTAAAACTGGGTGAAAGCACCCAAACCAGGGTGAATGCACCCATAACAGGGTGAAAGCACCCAGAAGAGGGCGCAAACACCCCGGAAAAGGGTGAATGTACCCAAAACAGAGTGAACGCGCCCAAAACAGGGCGAAAACACCCCAAAGCAGGACAAAAGCACCCAGACCAGGGTGAAAGCACCCCCAAACAGGGTGAGAGCACCCAGAAAAGGGCAAATGCACCCAAAACAGGGAAAACCCACCCAAACCAGGGCAAAACCACCCGGAACAGGGTGAATGCATCCAAACCAGGGTGAAAACACCCCAAAACCAGGGCAAAAGCACCCAGAACAGGGTGCAAGCACCCCAAAAAAGGCGGAAGCGCCCCCCCAAAAAATAGCAACGGCACCCGGAACCGGGTGACTGCACCCAAAACAGGGCGAAAACACCCCCAAAAAGGCAAAAGTACCCCCCAAAAAAGGGCAAAAAGCACCCCAAACCAGGGCGACCAAAACAGGGACACCCCCAAAAAGGCAAAAGTACCCCCCAAAAAAGGGCAAAAAGCACCCCAAACCAGGGCAGGGCCACCCGTCGCGAGCACCCGAA